GTTCACCAGCGTTACATATTGGAGGGTAGCCTGTTGTAAAGCTAGCCTTCGGTGGTACAGGAGCCCGACGGTACTGAGGAGTAGGGCTGTAGACTTCAGGGGTATTACGCTTAGCCATGCCAATGTGACCAGCGGTATATACGATGCCAGTGCAGTGCAGCTTGCTGTTTGCAGGCAGTTGATGAAGTGAATGAGTCGTGAAAGCCTTCTCCGCTTATGTTTGCGGGGATATCTGCATACGGACCGCGTTACGGTGTAAGCGAGACGTGCTGTGCCAACTGCAGCGGTTAAGCCGCAGCTTATCCATGTGGCAAACGCAACCGCATTGAGTATGAACATTGCTGAGGCTAGGACACATCTACGGATCCCCGAGCATGCAGAGATCGTGCCTCCTATCACGGATTGATAGAGACGGTGTTGCACGCTGATGGATGGGAGCTTCGACTGTGGGTTGTCTGGCCTTTTGCACTTCTTGCTTCCTGACCATGGTATCCAGCGAGAGATTGGTTTCCGTTTTGCATTAAGGGCACCTGATTCGGGAACTGTGCTGTTGGGTGCTGCGTCTGGGGGTCCATGCGGTTGTCCGCTTACTTTTACCGCTTCACATCGCCTGGCCCTTCCTGGGGAGTCTTTATCATATGAGGGAGTTGCATTAGCGTCCTTTGGCTCGCTCCGACGTCGCTCTGTGAGTCCTCCCCGCCATGACATTGTGGTCTGAGTGCTCGCCTCCGAGGGAGTAGTCGTTATGCTGCATACATCTTTACTCTTATTCAAAGAGTTGGTCTTTGCTCGGGCTTCCTCTGCCCCGCAACAGAAAGTCTTTCGCGGTCCACATGCCCGTCTTGACACCCTCAACAGTGGCTGCTCCATACGCTGGTCTCTCCATTTGGGCCGTTCTGATGCCTCTATACTCCTAGCGGCGCTCTTTGGCGTTGCAGCCGTAGCAGCGCGGTCATGATCGTCCAAACATTTCCCCTGTCCTTTTTCTAGTTGTAGCACCGTTTGTTCCTCCCTCAATTCTGCTTTTCGGCCTTTGCAGCTTGCGCCGCAGCAGGTTGTAGGGCCCTTACGTAGGCAAAGCCTGACGTTCGGAAAATACCCCTCTGCCAGCCTCGCATCAATTGGGGGGCGGTGCTCCTGTCCTTCGGCAAGCACTACAAGCACTAATAGAAGCCAGATAAGCATTCTGCCTATTTTGTGCTAAAAGACGTGACTTGCCCGTCGACGAGGGTGAAATGTTGACCTGACCAAATTAACACTAGGGCGTTGCTAGACTATTATTATGGGTCACCCTGATGTTTTCCGACCGAGCGGGAGGGACAAAGGAGATGCTCACCGTATATTCTATTGGCGTTAATCAGCTATCGGCTCTGCTGGATAGAGGAAAACGCGACAATTAGCTTTCAATGAAGATTATTCACCACAATCCTATCGTTTACGTCTCATCCTTGATGGAAAGTTGTTTCAAAGCATGCTTTCGAGCACAGCACGCTCTATGGGGCCCTGTACGACCTCAGACCTAGAATTTTGGTTCGATGGCAAAATGAAAAGGTACCGTAATGGGTATGCTTTATGTTTTGTATACCGGTACTTAAGCTCACGGCCGCCCCTTAGTTGGATTTGCACGGTCAAAGAACCGAGCACGTTGGTTGCGCGTCATGACGTGGTCGCGATCGAGCACTGCAGCTTGGCGCACATAGATATTGTAGCTTGGTCGTGCAGAAGTGGTCTTGTCCCACCCTTACATAACAGCACAGCTGCCACTATTCAGCAGACAACAGCCATGCCCGATTTGAATTTGGATAAGGTAGAGCTCTTGCCAATAGGGGTTCAGACGGGTACTGAGGAGCAGCAGGTTATTCATGGACTGTCGGTAGCTCGTACGGCAGTGGCGCTTAGTGTGCCTTTTACTAACTCGGACACGGTTCCGGGTCTTGACTGGAGCAAACGGTTTCTGGAAGCGGAGCAACGCTTGCAGAAGTTGGCTCGCCTTCCCCTTTCCATTTTTGGTAGGGCTACTGGCGCAGCTGCTTATGCTCTGCATACGGTTACTTGGCATATGGAGCATTCAGGTTTGCCTCCGGGTGATCAGTTGGACAACTTAGGGAGGTTGGTGGCTAAGTTTATTGATCGGCACCAGGGTCCGCAGGATCGGGAGCGTCGTGCCACGGGTGTTCCGGGTAGGCTGTTAGCAGGTCACCCCAGGGCAGGGGGTTTTGGTGCCTTGCCTTTGATTGAGCATATTCGGGCCCGTTTTGCTTGTTGGGGTGGCCGTTTAGTTTGTTCCGCCGTGATGCCATGGGATTCTTTACATCCCTGGCAGCGTGCTTTGCTTCTGTACCTTCGGCGGTTGCATCCGGCCTTTGGTCCCCTCTCGTTGTTGACAGCGACTAGGAGGGGGCCTTGGTTGGGTGTGGTTGGTTTGCCTGAGGATATTCGTCGGGTTGTGACTTCTATGGCGGCTTTACCGCCTGTTACTGACATAGGGTCGGATCCGTTGGTACCGGGTAGCTGGTGTTGGGGTGTTCCGTTGTGGGGTAACCCTTTCTTGCCGGTTGGGCTGCCGGGTCAACCTGGTGTGTTGGGTTTGGAGCACCACTACCCGGTGCTCGTTCATTGCCATGCCCTTCGTACCTTGGGTATGTGTGTGGCTGCCCTGGCTCAACTTCGTTGTTTCGAGGACACGTGGGATTCCGCGTTGTTGGACGGTGTGTCGGGGGTTGCTGAGAGCAGGGTGATGGAGAGGTGCTGGTCCGCTCTTGTTCGTCGGTTTCTGGACCCGGTGTCCCCGGATGCCTGTGCTCTTTGTTCGTTGCCTAGGTGTCATGATCTTTTGACGTCTCTTGAGTCGTTGTTGGGTGTGGTGCCTGTGGCGTGGGTGGAGGCTGCTGAGACTTTTCTTGTTGATGCCTTGCCGCCCCAACCTCCGCCGGCTTCTGAGGTTGATGCTTGGCAGGTATTGGTTCCACGGTTAGGGTGGCAGTTGCCTCATGTTGGCGCTGTTCCTTTGAGGAATCTGTCGGTTAGGATTGCCACAGTTCTTCAGCTTGGGGGTGTGTTTGAGGAACGTGCTGTGTTGCATGTGGCTTTTATTCGGGAGGCCCTGGGGTTATCTGCTACCCAGCCGCTTCCTGAGGGGGTCTTGGATGGCCTTCGTGATTCTTTCCAGCGTATTTGGTTGATTCGTTGGGAGAATGGTTTCAAGGAAGCGTTTTGGCGTCTTTCTATTGATGGGGTTCCCTTGCTGGGGAATTCTCATATGTCTAGGGCTCGTCCGGAATGTTGTGGTTGGGGGTCCGTTGTTTTGGGGGGGTCTCCGCGGTTGCATTATTTCTGGATTTGTCCTGTTGCTCGTGCTGTGGTTGAGCAGCTTGAAGTATCGTTGGGTGTTGCGGTTCCTCGGGCTGCCTTGTGGTTGGCATTGCCTCCTTCGGGCGTGCAACAGTGCGTTTGGGATGTTGTTGTTTTGGCTGCTTTGTCCGCTATGGAGGAGGGTCGGCGGTTGTTACGGGCTCGTGTGCGTGAGTCTGGTTCTGCGGGTGTTGTGTCTGGGCTTGCTGATGTGGTGGCCCTGTCTGCTGTTTCCTGGTTCTGGGGTCAGCTTCGGGGTTTTGCTTGTTTGGGTGTTCCCCGTCGGGGATGGGCTGGGGTTGGCCCTTCTCATCCTTTCTTACGTCATGTTGGCGGGCGGCTTTCTGCGTGCCGTTGAGCGTCCTGTTTTGGCCCTGTCTTTGGGGTGGTGTGTTCGTGGCTTCTGGTCTGGGTTGTCTTTTGCCCTAATGGTGGTTTGTCGAGGTTTGCTGAGGGGCCGTTTCTTGGCTTCTACCCTCTTGCTTGCCTCCTGTGGATTCTTTTAGGGCTATGTCTCCCATCTTGTTTGGCCCGTTGTGGTACTGTTTTTACGGTTTTGTTCCGTTTCTTTTGCAATGTAGGGTTGGGTTCATCACCCGTGTTCCCTTTTAGGGCACCATTGTAACGGTCATTCATTCATGCCCATTGTTTTCTGTGCTGCATGAGTATACGTCATCAGATGCGTGCCCTTTTGGGCCCCAAACCATCCCAATTCAGCTTATCGTGACGACCACTGAAAGGTGAGAGCCGTAGGCTTCTAACCTGGAGCAGCGAGCAGGCATTGGTGCAGCTGCAGGGACCACGCCGCCGCTGGCGCCATGCCATTGGTGTGTATGCACTGACAGTCGCTGTCCTCAGTTCCTTGCACTGCTATACCACTTTAAGTGCACCCATTACCGCTTTACATCATACCCCGTCGCAACGGTTAGCTGGCAGAGAAAGGCTCGTCGGTGTATGTGGTAAAACGAGATGGAAAGCGAGGGCTCCCGCATACCGATAGCATACTTTATTCTTTGCCTGTTGTGAATTCGCAAATGAAAACTGTTTATTGCTTGCTGTAAAGATTTGTTGGAAGCGTTGTGAAGGTTCAGAAAGTAAATCGTAGGCAAGGAAGGCAGCAATGCTGTAATATAATATGGTATGGGACTGAAAGATTTTATTGAAGCAACTGTGCAAACATCTATCATATAATGTGTTTGGGAGCGCAGCACGATGAGGCGCAAGCCAGATGGGGCGTTCCCGCTCCCATTTTGGTTCCCCTGGAGCCAAGCCCCCAAGCCTCCAGCCACCCAGCACCGGTTCAGGACTTGTGAAATGGTAATCCCTTTAATGAAGCCTAAAGGAACAAGAATCCGCCTTTACGTCCAACGCGTCTGGCTGGCCGTTGGCACCTTAGGACTTTCCTGGGAAAAAAAGTGACAGCCCTCGTAGAGGAGAACCACTATCCTTTAAAGCTTTGAAGACTCTTATCGCTGGATGAACAACGTTTGGCAACCAGGTCCGCAAACACCTCGCGCTGCATCGCATGCGTAGTCTCCGACAATATTACTGCACAGCTGTTACTGATATCGCTGCATATGAACACATTGTAATGCTACTGCTAATAGGGCCTATCATGAGATGGACAAATGCTACGAATGTGTTGGGCACAAGTCATCAGCCTTACATTGCGGGAAGCGGCGCAAACAAACAACACACCGGCCCCAAAGCCGGTACTGAGCACTAGCCAGAAGTACGCTAGGGAGGAAGACATTGAGTCCAACACAACAACAGCGCGTAGCAAGGCATACACCTTGACTCCGTGCAACCCCTCCCGTACAACCTCAGTATCCTTCTTATACCTCTTCTAGCCTTGCCCTATACCCCGTTCGTACCCTCCCCGTCTCACTTATACCTCTTCTAGCCTTGCCCTATACCCCGTTCGTACCCTCCCCGTCTCACTACTCAATGATCTCCACATCGCTGTCACCCAGAAGCTGCGCTGCTGCAGACGCCACCTGTGCGATGGCTGATGCCCCAACCAATGCCGCCGCCCCACTCATCATCGCCGGTGCCATCACCGGCGCCGGCGCCGCAGCTGCCGCCGAAGCCGTGCGGCGCATGCCAGCGCGGCGCATCGCCGTAGCACTGCGGGGGGGAAGTGGCGGCAGGGGGTGTGCAGACGAGGCACCGGGCGGGCCCCGATAGGAAGTTATGACAACGTCGCTGTCGGTGTCGTCATCGTTGCCCTCCATCGAGCCGCGGCTGCGCTTACTGCCGCTGCTGCTGGCAGGGCCACTGTTGCGCCTCCTGATAGACGAGGTGACGTTCTCGTACGTCTTCTTAAGCACCGTCTGCATCATGGCGGGGCTGCACTGGTACGTGCAGCCCCACCCATCGTACCGGCGCCCGGAGTACCTCTGCAAGCAAGGAAAAAGAAGAATTCATTATGGGAAGCAAGGAAAGAGAAGAATTCATTATGGCATACTATGAACAAATGAACGTTGCAGAGGTTCCCATGAACAAGCAAAGGAAGAAGCCATGCACTTGCCTGGCTCAGCTGGGGAAGCGACAAGTTGTAGTCCGGCGGCGCGATTGACGAGCAGAAGCAGCGAATGCTCCTGTACTGGTGCGCGCTGCCACGGTCCGCGTAGTTGGGCTCACTGAGCCCCCTCTTGCATAACGGGCACTGCAAAGGAAAGCCGGCAAGTCAGTACATCCAAAATAAAAAGAGCAATGAGGCAGAGACCACCACCGCCGCCGTACGCCCCCATGCCTCTTCCCATCCCCTGACCGAAAGGGCCAGCGGCTGCCGCTGCCGCCGCCGCTGCCGCGCCGCCGTACGCCCCCATGCCTCTTCCCATCCCCTGACCGAAAGGGCAAGCGGCTGCCGCTGCCGCCGCCGCTGTCGCGTCGGCACCACCGCCGCCGTACGCCCCCATGCCTCTTCCCATCCCCTGACCGAAAGGGCCAGCGGCTGCCGCTGCCGCCGCCGCTGTCGCGTCGGCACCACCGCCGCCGTACGCCCCCATGCCTCTTCCCATCCCCTGACCGAAAGGGCCAGCGGCTGCCGCTGCCGCCGCCGCTGCCGCCGCCGCTGACGCCGCTGACGCTGCCGCTGCCGCGCTGCCACCGCCACCCCACAGGCTCGTGCTGAGCCGCTTGCTGTACGCCACCGACCACACCACTGCTGTCTGCTGCAGCCGCTATCGACCACGGCACAGGTCTGGAGGTGCTAGCGGAAGCCGAGGATGTGTGCGACCGGATGGCGTCCGCCTGTTGCTGCGAGAAGGCACGCGCTCCTAGCTCGGACGCGGACACAGCGTGAAGCCTGGCCGCCTCCACGTTGACCGCTGGGTGCTGTGCACCTGTCTCCCTGTCCACAAGGGTCACCTTGGGCCTTTGTGTGCCCATGTAGCCAGCCGGGACGACACCGACCTGCCCCGTATATCTGCCGCTTGTCACCAACACCGCCTGGTCGCTAGTGTCCTTGCCTGACAACAGTAATCGCCGCTGGTCGTACTTGCCCCCAAGGGGACACACCTGTACATTAGCTGCCTTGACGTGCAGCTGTCGGTTGCTGTCTGGGTACTGAATGGTGACCCGGCTGTGGCTGGGTGAGTAGGAGAGGAAGTCCGCAAGCTTGTTGTTGTGGGTGTTAATGACCGTCTTCCCAGCCCTCAGGCCTGGCGACTGCATGCATGACGCTAGCGCAGAAGCCTCCGCTGGCGCTTGTACACGGGCCAGTGCACTGGGCGCGTCACCGGCGCCCTGGGAGAGGGGGCGGGAAGGGAACGGAGGGGAAGGGAAGAGAACGATTACTCCCGATTACACACGTCTCACATCCAACTGTGTCACTGTGCTATACAAGCACAAGGCCTGTCTTGAGGCATGCCCACCTGTAGATAGGCCTCCGGTAGTCTACCAGCAACAAGTCCAGCAGCGCGACCACCAAGCATGACATTGCCCTCTTCTGAATCCGCGTCGTCCGCATCCGCGCCGATTCCTTCTTCTGGCCCATCATTCTCTCCCTCATCATCGCCGTCCTCAGACAAGGACGGCAATATTAAGTCCAGATCGTAATCCCCGGACATTGAGCTAAGTATGTCTTCGTCATCCTCCATGTTGCCCTAGTGCCGCACACCAGTGCAATGACGCACGACCTAATGATTCCTAAGCTAAACTGGTGGTGTATGGGTATTGCTAGCGTTGAATGGTGTGCGATATCCTTAGTTCCTAGGGCTGGTGGAGCTCATGCGAGAGGGCGTTAACAGGTTGTGGTGTGCTGCGAGGCGTTAGACGCCGAGCGTAGCGAGGCTCTAGCCTCGTAGATACAGCCATACCCCACTGTACGACAAAAAAAAGCAGCCTCCCCGCGTGTCCCGAGGCTAGGCGCGACCCCCCATGCAGCGTCGAAGGGCAGCATAAGAGCCTACTGAAAGGATTTACTTTCATATACACTATTCGGGAAGGGCGAGGACTTGAGCTCGTTTGGCTTTGACCAGCGCTCACGGACGCCAAACCTGCTCTCGCTGAAAATGGGAGTGCGCTAAATTTAGAGCATTGAGTACTGAAGCGATTGCAAGTGAGAAATCCGTAGAGTATTCGGGGGGGCGTGAGGAAAGTAACCGCGAACCAGTACCGGTCAAAAGTCGTTGCGCTGAAAATAGGTACACCCCGAATACCATCCCGGACCGTTTTTACTTTATAAAGTTAAAGAGCGTTATGTCTACAATAAAGCTACCTTGCCAATAACGTCTGGAACGCTTTGTAAAGGCGGAACGCTATTTGGCTCCCGACCCGTGCCACGTCTCGGAGCTTAAAGAGAAACGCCAATCTATCCTCTTAATACGTATCTTCAAGTGTAGCAAAACAAATCCGCATAGCCAGCGAGACCTTAACTGCGGCGTTCGCGATGCTCACTCCGACTGGACGCCAAGCGCCTTAAGACGCTAAACCGGGATGGGCTTGATATTCCTGACATAATCGCGGTACAGAAAAGATCGAATTCTGGCCGGTTCAGGCGTGCTTATTAGGTCGCGGACGTCGCGATGACACCTGACGGCTCGGAGCCCTCTCCCAAACGCCCAGACAGTCTTGCTGATTAAAAGCGGAACTACCACGGCACTCTCTAGTATGGTTCCTGTAAATCGGCGCCGTCTCAGTTGTTCCCTTTCCGCTCTCGCACGCCCAACCAACCCGGCTGCAAACCTCTTTTAATTGGCGCCCCCCTTACCATCCACCTGCCACCCGCAAACACCGCGCTTGCCTCTGCGTTCCTTCCCCTCTGCACCTGCCCTTTTCCCGAATTTTCCACGCTAGCTCTCACCATTCAACACTCCCCTCCGTAATTTAGCAGACGTCCCCCCCAAAACACCCTTTCTACCTCTCCCTCACCCTCTCCCGAACGTTTTTACATCACCAATCAACCCCTCCGCCGCCCACCACCGCTGCACCACCGCTTGCTCCCTTGACCCTAACCACATTACCTCATACATCTCATCATTTCCCCCGTTTTTGTTCATTGCGCTGCTCCACATCCCGCTGCTCGCACGCAACCAGCACGCCTGCGAACCTTCTTCAATTTCCACCCAGTTGCCATCTACCTCCCACCGCACCTCCCTCTGTGTCCCTGACTGCATTTATAACCTTCCCTCCCTCGCCCTCACACACCCGTCCATGCCCTCGTTCCACCCCACATACAACACCCGCTGTGCCACCCCACCTCCTCACCTGACCCTAACTACGTTGCCTCACATATAAATATCCCCCCCTCTCGATTCATTGCGTTGTTCCACATCCCTGATCCTTTCACGAAACACCGCGCCTGCCTCTGCCTTCCTCCCTCTCTGCACCTGCCGTTCTCGCGAATTCTTTCCGCTAGTCCTCAGCACATTTAACCTTCCCCTCCTCACCTCCATGCTTCTTAAGTTAGCGAACGTCCTCCCCAAAACACCCTTCCCGCCTCCTTCCTCTCTCACCGACCTGGCAGACGTCTTTACATCGCCGATCATCCCCTCCAGCGCCCATCCTCTCATTGCACCCCACATGCATCATCCGCTGCATCACCCCACCTGCTCACCTGACCCTCCCACCATCCCACTACGCACGCCTTAATTTTATTAATAATTAACCCCATCACCCTCCTCAGTTAATAACCTGCCCCCCCCTCACCGTCACCCCTCCGTGTCCCTCAAGTTAGCAGATAGCGCACTTCCTCCCTAAAACACCCCTCCCACCTCTCCAGAAACACGTCCCTTTTGCAGCGAGCTGGCAGACGTCTTCACATCACCAATCAACCTCTTCGCCGTCCCCACTCTCATTCCACCCCACGTACAAGACCAGCTGTGCCACACCACCTGCTCCTTTCACGCCCGACATCCCAACCTGGACGCCTTATTTTTATTGACAATCGTCACCCGCCCTCCCCGACATCCTCCCCCTCCCAAACCCTCCCTTGCATACACACCCCACTTCACATGACCAATCAACCTCTCCACTGCCCATGCCCTCATTCCACCCCACGTACAACACCAGCTGTGCCACTCCACCTCCTCACCTGACCCTACCCATGTCGCCCGTCCTTTCACACCCGATGCATTACTTTTATTGATAATGATCACCTGCCCTCTCCGACATGCTCCCCCTTGCCCCTACCCCCCCCCCACACACACACCCCACTTCCCCCCGCCTCCCCCACACACCATCCCCGACCCGCCGTCCAGCCCCCAACGCCTCGCAGTGTCGGCGCGCGCGCGCGCCGCTTAATATCTGTAAGCCCGTGAATGTAGGTCGTATACAGAATGAGAAGTATAGCGTAAAAGCTTCCTGATTTCGCGTAACGTCATAGGGGTGCAGTTTACAACATGCGCCAACGGTCAGCCAGACGCGTTGGACGTAAAGGCGGATTCTTGTTCCTTTAAGCTTGTTTAAAGGGAATACAATTCTACAAGTCCTGAACCGGTGCTGGGTGGCTGGAGGCTTGGGGGCTTGGCTCCAGGGGAACCAAAATGGGAGCGGGAACGCCCCATCTGGCTTGCCGATGAGGCCCTGTAGGGGCGCTGTACCATATGAGTACTTGCCTTGCGCTGTAAAGCTGAGCGATAATTAGTCGGATAGATGTTCCGTTGCTAGCAATGCTAGGGTCGGAGTAACTTCATAGTCAGACCCAGAGCGAGACGCACAGACATGTTATTCAGCGCTAGCCGTTTGCGGCATACGAACCTTTTGCCTGCGACTGCTTGCTTGTTATGTTTTTTATCATGCTTGTCATCAAGCGCAGAGCTTCTCATTGGTTCCCAGAAATGCGTATTCATTTTTGCTACGGGTCGCTCGGGCTCGACGTCGCTTATGGACGCACTAAACCAGATTCCACACTACCTAATTCGTGGAGAGACTTGGGTGGCCCATGGAAACTTGTTTAGCGCGTACCAGTAAGTAACCTATTCGGTCTAATTGGTCGCCCTTACATGGCCATTTGCTCACGGATGTCCTACACTGAAGCACCCAATTAGACATTGTTATAACTTGTGTGAGGCTGGGTGGGTTAGCCCGATACTCTTTGCTGGGTGTTTAGGATTGCATCTTGCCTAGGCTTAATCTCTACGAGTACTGGGCTGAAAGGGTGAGGAACTATGAACAGAGTGAAATCTTAATGGCTCTATCCTGGCTTGAATCCCGGTAATGTAAAAATGCGAAGAATACAAGGGGGGAGTTCCTAATGTTTAGGAAGCGCCAGTCGAGGAAGCAGAGCTTTTATGTTATATGGGGCGAGCAAGAGAAGGGGCCGGGAATACACATTGCCCGTGCATTTAACACGCCAGCATACCAGGAGTAGTTCCCTTCTTGTATGTTGAGCCCGCTGGTAATTTGCTTCATGAAATGACGTAGCCAACGTGTGTCCTTTGGCGCACCTGTGTATGCAAACCCGCGTGCATTCGATACCACCCTTCCAATACTCTATCACTCCTCGTTTACCTTGTTGCTATTGCTGCTGTTTATCTTGCGGCTCCTGCAGGCACTTACGTGAAGCAAGGACTTCCCCAGGACAAGAATTTTTTCATTTTGCTAAAATACGGGAACGCTTTAAAGATGTTAAGCTGGCGTATGGGAAGCGTGCGGAGACAACCAGACTGCCCTTCTTTAACGAGTTCTCAGAAGACCGGGTACTTCTGGCGACACGGGCTTACTACACTGTACTGTACGGGCATTACGGGAAAGGTACTACGCTTGTGTGTGCCTGTAGTAAGGTCTGACTTGACATACCTAAACGCCTTGTGTGCTACAACAGTCAGGTGATCGTAAAGCGTACTGTTGCCGGCAATGTGGTTTGCAGCAGTGGAACCCAATCGAATGCTATAACCATGATGACGCCCAATGCAAATGCAGACGTCGTCAGCGGGTTCAAGGAAATCCGGTACGTTTGTGGAGTTTACTTCAACCAAACACGGTGTGATGAACATTTCCAGGAGTTTGTCGGTTTCCTCCGAGGCATGTGTCATGATGTAAAGGTGAGCTCCGTAAAGCAGGGTGACCGCACCTGATGTCCTGTTGGTTTGCAGACGAAATAAGTCGTACCCGCGTGCCTTGCAGTTTCTTTTCAACACAAGGTTATCAGCCTCTCTAGAATCCAACATCAAACGGTTTCAAATGTTTGATAACGTTACCTTCGCTACGGACTTCACCCACCTCCTCAACAAGACCCATACGCTGTACGACAATTATGCCATGCAACACAGCGATCACGCATTCCGGGTTTACATGGAAGACATGTTTAACATCGAGGTGGGTACCACCACATGTGTGCGGACGGTAGTTAGTAGCGCGATGACTGGAAAATTATTTTTGTGACAACAAATTGCTGCATGTCCATGCTTGGGGCTGCTGCCTTCGACAGGAACCAGACATTCAGCTCCCTCATACAATTGAACCCCACTTTATCTTCAGCTATGTAACTCCCAGCAGGTTTTTGCCGCACTTTCCCGACGTGTTGCAGAGGAACGCTACTTTGGCGAGAAACCTGCTCCAGTTCCTCGGGGAGGACACCTCGATTCCCATCCGGTTTAACCGCATGCCAGGATGGCAGCCAAGCTATCCCACCCCGTAAAGGGCTGTGTCGAAGGAACTTTAGCATGGTATTGATAATCACAGCGTCATCCTGGTGTACCAAGGAGCATGCACCTGCTTTCATGCATGGGCTCTTCAACTTGCATGTCACGTCACTGGGCGTCCGCGCTTGCTTGGCTAAACCTGAGTGCTCGTTGTCTTGCTTGCCGCCGTTGTACATATTGCATGTTAGGTTTAGGGTGTTGGATTTACGCAAGCAATCACGTGATGTATGTTTTTACGACCTCACACAGTGCCTACCACACCCACACAGATATTTGTGGAATTAACTAGGGCTTTTTTTGCTCCCTTCCGACACCTCTCACGGAAATGGCCCGTTTTCACTCGTTACTTGTGGTGCTGCCGGCCTCGGAAGGCGCGGCCTATTGGCGGAGGAGTACTTACCCGTACATGTTTGCTCGCATACTCAGGGCGCAGACAAGAATGGTACTGGTTCTTCGGTCTGATAGCTGTACACAGCTTTGCTGTCAGTCAAGGGTGTTCACGTTTAGTCATGTCCCCCCTAGGAGTTGCCTCCAAGGTTCCGGTAGCTAGCATAACATGTCTATCCGAGTGTTGTCAACGATGTTTCCCAGGTGTTGGGAGCTGTGCTGCCCTTCAACGGTATACGACAGCCACATGCCTTCACTAGGGCATGTTTGGCAGCATGCCTGTCATACACACACACTGGCTGCAAAACCATACGTTGGTTATAATTACTCCAACAGATACCACAGGCGCATTTGGTAGTATATGTTAAGGTTTTGAGCGGGCGATGTTTGAGTGGACGTGGTGTGCATGCTGCCATTCGGGCCATTTTTTTGCGCTTCACGCGGATTGCTGGGGTGAGCAGCGATGAGCGAACAGGTGAGAAGTATTAAACCAGACCGAAGCGATCTCATGGCCTGCCCGAGTGGATGTGTGGCATGGAGGGCTGACGGTGTGTTGGGGTGATGGGGGAGGTGACGTGGCTGTGCACGAGGGCGGCGCGTGGGTGTCATGTTCGGGAGGGTCTGCTGGCGGCGTAGGGACATGCAAGGGGGTTCTTACACGGGCGAGCAAGCGGAAGGCCCAAATTGTGCCAATGGGCAGGTTGCACCGGCTAGCCAGGCGTCTGCGGCCCTCAGGGGCAAGCTGTTGTGTTAAGAATGGTCGCAATCGTGTTGGCGACCAGGGGGTATCAGAGGCGTGCACAGAACCTGAAGCTCGGTCCTATGTATCAGTTGCCCTTGCTGTCACCCTCATCCGTGTCCTGACCGTGGCTATCTGTGCCATCGTCTCCCCCATCTGAACCTATTTCCTCATCCCCGTCGCTAGCGGAATCTTCCACATCGCTGCCCGCGGGAACATCCTCGTCGTCGTCAGACCCTGATTCGGCAGCCCCCCCCTCACTATCCTCCCCACTGCCATCATGTGGACCCTCATCCTGCGAGGTGAGGGCATCGGAGGCATCAGAGCCCTCGCCAGTGTCGGCGGAGGGCCCGCTTCCGTTGGGGCTGCCCGGAGCGCTGCCATCGTCGCACATGTCTTCACGAGGATCCTCAGCCTTGTGGAAGGCGCGAATGGTGATGGGTATGCGCTTGGCAATAAGGCGTTCAGCAAGTTCAGGAATGCCTTCTAACGAAGGATGTTAGGGAACTTCAGCCCATTGTCCAATGAAAACTGGGGGCAGCGGTCTCACCTGATGCTGCCAAGGCAGGTGCTGCAGATGTCCCCTCTGCCAGTGCGTGCAACCCACCCTGCAAGGTTAGATAGTTGCCCACTCTTCACTTAGGGTGTCATACATCCTGTCAGTGACCTCCACCACGGAGTGTTTAAAGAGTCTGCGGTCGCAGCAGCAGCACGGTTGCCTTTACACCGTGAGGCGTCGTTATGCCGGGTCCAGCGGCTCCACGTGCAAGAAACCTACATGGCCCGCCCCCCCGCCCTTACACTGAGCATACGCCTATCGAGTGGTGTATATGCAGCAAGAACAGCAACGTTGTGCACGCGCAATTGATGCTGTTCCCTTTTGATGGACAGCAGCAACGGGTGGCCATCTGTCAACCGTGCACACACCGTCACCGTGCACCGTGCGTGTCTACACGTGGCGAGGTCTCCCACGGTAGCGCGCACACGTTGCAATTATCGCTGATCGGCTAATGTGCATCAAGAACAGGTCTTGTGCATGCTTATTCATTGTTGTTCCCTTTTTGATGGGCAGGGGCAACGGGTGTCCATCCATCAAACGTGCACATTTACAAGTGGCAAGGTCTCCCACGGTAGCCGAACGTTGCGATTATCGCTCCTCCGCTCATGTGCGCCAAGGACACACGCATGGCACATGTGCAAATATTGCTGCTCCGTTCTCAATTGCGAGTCAAGTAACTAGCTTGCGTCAGGAAAGCACTGCTTGAAAGAATGTAAATAGCGGCTTGTGAGTTATGGCAGTGAAAGGAGCAGGGGTTGCACCAGGGTTCAATGTTAGCAACTCTAGGTTGGGTCGCCCGCATGTTGTTCGCGCGTCTCACCTCTCGACGTTGTTGTATACTGATTACAGCTCCTCATTGAAGAGCATTCTATAAAAGTGCCTTCGTGTCCGCGTGTGTCTGCAATAAGTTTCCCAGACACTAACGTGTCGCGTCCCGTTACCGGCATGTGCATTCTACCGGCATGCCCGTACGGTCATAGTGCATGTCTCGCAGCTTCTTTTTGTTATGGGCGTAGTTCAGCGTATGTATGTTACAAGCTGTTGTGCTAGCGCCTTTATCTTGGGTGCTGCCGGTTTCTGGTAGTTGTGAGTACGGCGTATCGGGCATATCTGCCGTACAGCCACCGGCGCTCTGCCCACAGCAGCGCTCTGCTTTGGGCAGAGTAAGAGGCCGCGGTGTGCGGTCTGGAGCGTGCAAGCCGGATTAGAGGTCCGTTACGCGAGTTGCAACTCGTGATTGCACGCAGCACGTTGGAATTCGTACTTCTATTCTGCGCTGAGCAGAGTAAAGAGGCCGCGGTGTGCGGTCTGGAACGTGCAAGCCGGATTAGAGGTCCGTTACGCGAGTCGCAACTCGTGATTGCACGCAGCACGGTGATAGCAGCGCTCTGCTGTGAGCGGAGCTAGAGGCCGTGATCTTTCTAGGCCTACCTTACGACTCCCCCATGTGCACGCCCCTTTCGTGCTACTTGCTGCCCGCAGGGTTGGCTTCGAGCGGTGCAGAGTGGGAGCCGCAGCCCCCCATGGAGGAGCAGCCAGCAGTGGGGGGGAAGCTGAGCGGTCCTCCGCCGCTCGTTGTCCGACCCTGTTGGTGTAGCACACCGGCTCCATCCTACCTGGCGCGCCGCAGATCAGCGGGAGCGGTTCAACCCAGCTTGGAGCGGGGCGCCAGCGCGGCCAGGGGGCTCTCGGGCTAGACGGGGCTGGGGTACATCAGCGAAGGAGGAAAGGAGGCCGTGCGTTGATGAGGGGGAGGAGCAGCTGGGGTGGTGAAGACTAGGGCAGGAGCAACGGTTGGGATCAGGGGGCGGCTCGTCCTTGTCGGCGGACTGTGGTGAGGACTAGGGCAGGAGCAACGGTTGGGATTAGGGGGCGGCTCGCTCTAGTTGGCGGACGCTATTGTGGAGGCTGCAGGCGTTGGGGCGTACGACCGCAGCAAGCACTGTTGCCTTGCTGTGGGCGACCTGCTGGTTGGGTGTTGTAGGTTGTAGCGTGCTCGTGTCACTGCAGCATGTGTGCTGAGGCGTAGATGGGAGCTTGGCAGCCTGGGGTGATCATGTCTCTGGGTGCATGGCCTGACTTGGCACTTCCTAATTGGCTTGATGGCAGAGCAAGATGCGCATTAGCTCAGCGAGATGGCTGGCTAGGGCAGCCCGTCGGGCTGGGTGTTACTTGGCCGGTGGTCACTAGTAAGAGGCTGGGCTCTGCAGCGTGCCTCAGCATGCGGTTCGTGTTGGACATGTGCAGGGGCTTTCTTTACAGCAGGGCTGGCGGCGCAATGGGCCTGTGGGAAAGCCGGGGGCAGTGATCATGCCCTTGCTGCCTAGGGTTGGATCAGGGGGGGCAAGGCGCCGCCGCCTCAGAAGTAGGGCCAGCATCGTCAGGGCCGGCGGCTGTGGTGGCGACAGAATACAGTGGCAGCTGGGCTCGGTTGTGTTGTGGAGGGGGCCGTGTGGTGTGCGCAAGGGTGCAGTACTTTGGGGCACTCGTGAGGACCGAGTGCGTCTTGGTGGCGCGGGTTGATGGAGGCCTGGGGCAGACCACTCTGGCATGTGTGCGTGAGTGGCTCCCCCAGTGAGTGGGAGGCCGGGAAGCAGCGGGACTTCGCCCTCTGGGGGTGACCCGGCCTGCGGGCTCCAGGCTCGGGCCCTTTGTGGGGCCGCTGGGGGCGCTGTGGGGCTGGGACTGTATCTGGGGGAGCGGGGCTCCGTGTGCTGATGTTGAGGCCCAGGAGTGTATTGTGTAGGAGACGGCCGCCAGTACACGGTGGCGGGCTGGGGTTGCTGAGGGAAGAGGCGGTGTAGAATTGGTTTGGAGATTGTGGGTTCGCCGGCCAGGGCCCGGCTGGTGAAGCAGAGGTGCAAGCTAGCGGAGAGGTGAACTGGTGCTGCCGAGGGGATGCTCCTGACCGGTAAGGACGGGTGGCTCAGTGGATTGCATGGACGGCACGTATGGTCTGGGTGGACGACTTGCTGCTGCGTGCGAGTGACATGCCCTATTGTGCTTAACGGGTACGGTGGTGTGATTCTTTGCAATTTGGTTCCTGTCATGCTCTCGTCTGCGCCGGCGTGTCCGGGGTCCTGGTGTTACAACCACCCCAACCCAAGGTTAGGTTTGGTTGTGGGGGGGAGTGCGGACCCCGGTGACGCTAGATGATCAGGCCGGTGTGTGGGCGCGACAAACGAGCAACGCAGTGCAATAATAACGACCTCCGTACTCGTGCTAACTTTGCGACGACCCTAAACTAGTCCAGGATTCGGTCGTTAGAACCGATACAGATTGATACACAGACGACTATTGCGTACGAGACCACGACAAGTACGACAAAGGGGAATAAGTGCAGTACAATGGACGTATGCAGTGTCTGGGTCCTTATGCCCATCCCCAGACACTACCTGTCTTCCCCGCGGTGCCTGCCTCCCCCTGCTGCTGCCCATGCCCCGTGCGCCTCGGCCCCTCATGGGGGGATACCAAATTAGACCAAACCGTATGAAGGGAGGCGGGAGAGGAGATGGAGGAGCTCGTTGGCTGCGGCTGTGACATCAGGTGCTTCAGCAGGCAATTCAGAGTCTTCAGGAGCGGATGCAGCGGCAACGGGTTATATATTTAATAGTAATACATATCATAAACAGAGCAGTAATTGGTGCAGTATCGCGAAAGATGTTTTGCGAGGATGGCCTCATGTGGAACATAGGCGAGGCTTACGCGAGGCCCAAACGGCGAGCGGATATTTCATGTTTGGTTTGTGGCCGAAATCTGCAAATTTCTCTCCCCCAAAGTTTAGAGATTTTGAAAAGCCTTACACATCATCCCCCCCCAGAGGGTGTTACCATTTTTTGGAATCCATTATTCGACTGCTCAGCTTGTGCCAGTGAGGGAAAGAAAACCACCGGTTGCCTTTATGCCGTGTCCTGTATACTTTGACGCGCTGGTGTAGTTATGCCGGGCCCCAGCGGCTCCAAACGCGTTCGTCGCTTATTGGGCGGTTCGCCTCAGGTGCAGAAACGTACATGGCCCGGCCCCCCGCCCTTACAATGAGCATAGGCCTAATGAGTGGCGCTTGCTTTGCGATGCCTGCTTGCATTTTGGCTCATGGGTCCCTAACATGGTCGCCAACGTTGCAGTCCCCAAGCCAATAGATCTTTTAAAAGAGTACTTTTATAGGCAAAGTCTTTAGAGTTATTGTACTGCACGTGATCTTGTGACCCGGGAATATTGTCGTCACGAGTTTCAGGGTAACGTGAACTGCACTTGCATGCTGCGATGCGCCTACCTTTTACCTACAAATTTAACAAAGCTTTGTTAGTCGGCATACGTATGTGCAAGGAAAGCATGCATACTTGAAAAGCGAACCAAGTTTGTTGTTCAACAGCCGATCCACAAATAGTGTCAAACTCACACAAGGGTTTTGTTAAGCGCGCACACGACCCAAGTATTCTATTCCTATTAGGCCGTTGATAGTCCTGACAGCGTTTCTTGACTCGCGGCGGCAAACGCCGAAGTCGGACGGCTGATGGCTCTTCGGATACTAATATTTCTCACCGCTTGCACAGCATGTTTGTCCAAGGCCAGTGGTGCATGGAGGCAACCTAAGCTCGATAGCTGTATTCTGCATCCGGACTTGGAAGCTCGGTGAGTCCGTATTGACCACTTACCCGCTTGTGACTAGTGTGGAAAATCGTCAACGGGGCTCTCTGGTATGCCTTTTGGCAGCTATATTTCGCTAGCTTCGACGGCTATGTATTGCTATATGTTGGTCAAACCTAGATACAACTCTGGAATGGTAAGGAAGTATAATGCCTTCTCCGTCGTGCCAAGAACTTGGCTCCATTGTTATACACTATACGCGTGTGTGTTGCTTCGAACGGTGTGGGTGTGGGATTTGAGGTTGCAGGGTATATTATTTAACGAACTGTGTCCGTCGGGTTTCCTGGACTGTCAAAGACGGTCCTTTTTTGGCAAGTGTATCACTCATAACCTTGCCAGCCTCCCCTTAGTCTCAGTCTAGAATGGTCTAGGGAATCGTTCCTTGGGGCCCTGAGGCAAAGCTGCTGCTAGGAGTGGATGAACAACTTATTTTTGTTCCTTCCGTTACACAGAATTGCCAAGGACGTTTCCATATGGTCAGACGGCGGCATATCGGAGGAAGTGGGCCTGTCGGTAGTTTCGTCTTGTGACCTGAACAAGATGCCTCCAGACTTGAAGCCGGAGCAGAACTGCAACAAGGCACAGCGCATTCTGGTGGAGAATGGCACTGTGTACCTAACCAACATTGCCAATACGGTGCACATGAGTCTTGATGAGCGGATAGGCTTCCTTGTAGAGCTGTATCAAACTAGCCAGGTGGGCGCGGGCGCTGCAGCTATTTCGAACGAGGGGGAACACCTATGGGCAATTCACAGCAGCTAAATGACGTATTGTCTTTGTGTATGGCCGCGTGCTTGTGTTTGTTTATCCCCCGCTTTGGCCCCCAGCTTGTCGTCTGGTCTCCCAGTCTCATTCAACACATTGAGTATTATTCTCGCCGCCATCCGCATGCATGCAGGAGTACAACCTCCCCAACGTGGAATTCACGCACTGGTTCGGTAAGTGTGTACGGCGTGTTTCATGCAACCTAATGGATGGCACAGGCCTTGGTTAGTTAGCTTCGGGCTATATACGCATCAGGCTATATACGTGGCAATAACCCTCATATATGTTGTGCCATGCTGACATCAATTCATCCCGGCTGCCTGCTGCCTGCGTCCATCCAGATGACATCCCTTCTGGCTCCCTCGCGTTTGGGCCCGATGGCAAATCGCTGTGGCCCTTCCCGCCTGCCGGCTGCATGCCGCCTGTGATGGCCTGGAGCAAGTGGAAAGAGTGTTCGGTGTTGCTGGTGCCGAATTCAGGACACTTTAGGTACGGTACGGATAGCAGCCATGTGTGATGTATCCCCACTTTTGCACCATAAGGGAGGGTATGCCTGCTGCAGAGCACTACCTTATTACCATAGTCCGCTTGTCACGAACTTGCTTGTGCCTGCGTCCAGGCCCTCCCTGCAGCTGAGACTCCCTGACTGGCCCATGCGAAATGCGCAACTTTCCCTGCCAAACCACTTCCACAGATGCGTTCGGGATGGCTTTGATGAGTTGGAAGCTTTGCTAGAAAACATTGCCACTAGCGTGCCCTGGAATGAGAGGCTGCCGGTGCGTGGGTTCAATTTCACGGGCGGATGGGGCCATTATAACTACCGGTAACAGGCAGCGTCCCTAATAAGGGTACGGTGTGGAAATGCGCGTGGACATTCGTTTGCATGTGGCTGCATGGCTCATATAGAGCAAAGGGAGACGCATGCGGTGTGCTAGGAAACTGGCCTCGTCCTCATGCACACATGCGGTGTATGTATTACGAAAACTGGCCGCAAGTCGAGACATGTGGTGGTTATTTATGTGGATATTTGTTTCATGCTCTCCTCAGTGGGTTGATTGCCTCCCCACCCCTTCTGCAGAGCATGCCTCTTGCCGCATGCAATTTATCATGAACAAAGGCAAGCTTTTTCTCTCCATGTCCAGCCCATACATACGATGCCGGGCTACCGATGATGATACGCTTTGCTAAACTTCGTTTCGGTGCTTCCATCTCACTCTTGCACGTAAAAAACACCACCCCACAGGTGGCGTTTGGCCGCTGGAGCAACTTCTGTCCACATTTTCTTGAAAAGCTTACCACTGCTGATGGTAAGCCGATGAAGTGCCCACGAACACACTACGAGGAGCTCTCAAAGCAGCACTCGCATCTCCTTGACATGAGGGATAGGAAGGATGGTCACGAGCTCCCCATACAGCATCAAAACCGCTTCCGCTACCTGGTTTCCACGGACGGTGAGTTGTGGCGGATGTATGGCCAGGTAAGGGTTTGTTTGTTTAGGCCTGCTTCCATCACAGTAGCCACTGCCGGTACAGCGTAATTGTATCCTCTCTGGCTTGCATGGGCCTTACCCTGTTCACTCACCCCTTACGTTTCTGGTATTAAACCGGGCGGCTAATCTGGGCTAACCTGCTGCAGGATTGTCGGTCAGCTGCAAGCTGGAGAAGTATTTGTTGCTTGGCTCTGCTCTCCTCAAGGTACCTCGGGCTGCCTCCTGACATGCGGTAGTTTTGGGGATTACGGAAGGTTACAGCAACATAAGGCATGCGGTGGTTACCATCTGGGTAGGACTCCTACTCACCACAATGCTTGTTTCGCACATAAGCTTTCTTGGACTACTGCACACCCAATAAACATCCTGCATTGTACCCCCCCCCCCCCGATGTACGTCTGCTACCATGCGCCAATTCATGGTTGTCTGATTGTCCCTCTACTTCCTGCATCTGAATGAGATCTCTGTGCTCGTTGCGCCTCAGACCAACTCCAGCGTTTTCGCCTACTTCTACGATGCCCTCAAGCCATACGAGCACTACCTGCCCGTTATGGTCAAATCCAGTGACGACATATTGGAGGTGCGCATCTGGTGCATAAAACGCCCTAGTAGCACTTGTAGAAGACGTACCGGCTAAGTGTCGATGCTGCCGTGAATAGCTTTCCCAACCATCTGTATTCATTGCCGGCTGTCTGCATGCTGCAAATGGCTGCACCTGTCCCTTGCATTAAACACATGTATTTATGGAGTAACCTATGCTGCGTGTTTGGGTTTTGGCCTACCGGATGGCACAATAGCGAAGCTGTTGGGGCGGGTATCTTAAGCAGAGGTCCGCCAGGTGAGCGCTGGTGTTTTGTAATTCGCCCTGGACCTCTCCTTGCCGTTCCGTCTGTCGTGCAGATGGTTCCGTGGATGAGGGCAAATGATGAACGCGTGCATGCGATTGCTCAGAGAGGCCAGGAATTTGCCCTTAACAACCTCCATCGTGAGGCTCGGCTTTGCTACATTTTCCGCTTAATCAAGGAGCTGTCCAAGAAGATGGGGTGAGCCAAAACCCCGTGTTCAGGACACGGTGCGCGTTTGTCAGTTGTTCGTTTGTTTTGTGGAGACAGCTCGTCGTGCCTCCATATGGCATGAGCACAGAACTTGCGGCATGCACACACTTGCATGTCCCAAGCCCATAAAAACCACAGCAGTTCAGTAGCTAGCTTTGTGTGGCGTAATGTGTATTACCATGCATGCATGCGGCCATTCCTATAACACGTATACTACCCTTCGTTGTTCCTTTGCATGCAGGTACAAGCCCACGTGCAAGCGCCGTGAGCTGTGTGTGCCTTTGGTGCATGAGATCAAATTCCTGGCAGGGGATAAGAGGACGTCCATGAGATGCGAGTACGTACTAATTCAATTGATGCCCGTGTGTTGATTATGACTCTCTCAACTCCCTCAGCCCTCAAATGGTAACAAAACGTTTGCATGCCTACCTGCATCGAACCAACAGGTACCAGTCCGTGCTGTCACGATTTGGAAACTCCGATGACGCGGTTGCCACCGGGCGCCGGGCTAAAGAGTACGACTTCAAGGATTTGGGGCGGCTGCATGATGGGGGTAACGCCTGGCCACGTGACGATCTGCTAAAAGACAAGCCATGAAGGTAGGGGCCCCAGGCCTCTACCCTTCCTTAGAAGTGACTGTCCGCAAAAAGAGAAAACGGTTGCCCTTAGGTCATTTGACTCTGGCATCATGTCTTTATCCTTGTATTGTTTCATCTGTTATCATATCATGTTGTGTTCACCAGCTGTGGCGTGCACACTAGTACGGGCAAGTTAAGTGGTAGGGCTTGCGAAATTCCCGTGATTCTGGCACATCTTGCCATCATTTGTTTTCGGAGGGGCCTGCAAGTTGTCCCTTGTAGCTCTTTATACGTTGTGGCCCTTGTCGGGGACCCGGGTGATGAATAGTGCTGTCCAATGAATATTTCCTATCTGCGTCATACAGCTATCGTGTTCATGGGCTTAAGGAAAGACCGAACATTTGTTGCTTATCAACTGCCGTGAATCGTCCTCAAGTGTATGTATGTCACGGAGCAGAACGTGCTTTTTGGCCTGCCCTTGGTTCTAGGCGCTCCGATAGGCCGCGCCGTGGAAGCAAGGGAAAAGCCTTAGGGAACACCGGGACTTAAGGTCCCAGCAAAATTTCCTGTTTAGGTAACATAGCAGACGAAGCCATATCATTGTAACTTTTTGCAGACTATTACTAAATGTAAGCCACGGTACCATGGAGAACAGTTGTTCGAACACACAGACAACATGGTTATGGGGCATGAACATAAAGTTGGTGTTAAGTGGTGCTACTGTGAATGTTCGGAACAACAACCGAATGTGTTTCCCTGTTGTCTGTTGTTAAGGTGCAACGTTGCTGTTCAGAAAGGCGCTGTCGTACACGTGCTTTCTTACAGTGGCTGTTTGGCATCCCTTGTTCATCACGGATAGTCGTTGTAGTTACAAGTAAGGCCCGCTGTGGGCGGGAGGTACCCGCAGCTCGGCAAAAGGACGACACGTATGTGGGCGTGCATACCGTAAGAGTGGTGTGAAGTTGCGGATGAGGGAGGTGAGGAAGCCGGCGAAGATACAGTGTTACATGCAACAGTTTTGACAAGTCGAGATATTCGTAGTAAAGTATAATAGAGGCCTGCGCGCATGGCTGCAGCTACGTCTGGATCTTTGTAGCCACCGCATGGATTACTAAGGGCTCTGGCACCGTTGGCTCTGCCCCCATACTTCTCGATTGCCGCACGGTCCACCTGAGCCATCGGGTTCACGTGGACAGCCCAATCCGCATCTTCAGGCACGGCGCCTGCCGCACCTTGGCAGGAGGCCTGCTAGGGTACTTATGTAATTACGATATTTTACGGCGTCAACTAACACGACCTGGATGAATGCCGGCAAATCATCCGGAGTGAATGGCACGACTTGCTGCAATTTGCTGGATAGGTCGTTGGGGAAGGCGAATGTATGCCCGCGCAAGGCCGCTGGTAAGGTTTCTGCTGTGCGCCAGCAGGGCGTCCCTGCCTGCCGTACGACAAACAGCCGCATGTGAGGGCGAGCGAGGCCCACCACTAGGCTCTCCAGACGAGCCAGCTGCACGAGCAGGTGACCATGCTGGTTTACTGGAGGGGTCGAGTTGAGCCAGCGCTCGATCTTAATGGAACCACCTGTTGGGGAACAGAAGCATGCATGTTGGTATCCGTCAGTGGCGACGCACAATACATAATAACTGCACCCACGCAAACCGTTATGAAGAGACGCCCCCTATGCCAAGCCCTCAGACCACAACCAGCCCGCCCAACATACTCTGCAATGCATGCATGCATTCTGAGCAGACCGTGAAGTGCCCCACACCGTCAGCGGATAGAACCATAGTACGATTGGGCAGCTGCATATCCGCACGCGTGCAGTATGGCACCTCCAATGCCGTGGGATCACTACCACACGGTAACACCCTCAACTGCGCCGAATATGTTGGGGCCGCCGTGATGGTCGATCGTCGGCGTATTCATCAAGGTTGCTGCTATCCGCCTGGCAATCCTCACCACCAGACGGTAAGATGAAACCCGGTATCGCTTAGCGGCTGACTACCACGAGCCTTGTACCCGCATGGCAGCACGACCTTTGGCGGATCTCTGTACCTGCCTCTATTGACACGCCGCCAGTACAAGACGTGCGCGCAGCTGCAGTCCTGCGCATGTCAGCTCGCAGTAGCTCAACACCGCCATCGCCGCCGCCCAGCCCTGCACCTCTCCCGCCTGGTGTGCTACCGCAGCCGCCCAGCCCCGCACCACCGTCTCCTGCACCTCTCCCGCCTGGCATGCTGCTGCCATCGCCGCAGCCGCCCAGTCCCGCTCAGCCATCTCCTGCACCTCTCCCGTCTGGCATTCCGCCCATGCAGCGATAGCAAGACACCACGACGTGCGCGCAACGAGGCACAGCTGCCGTCCTGCGCACGCCAGCATGCAGCACCTGAATACCTCTCATTTCGCGGCGTTTGAACGTCCGTAGCGGACCTGCACTCGCTGCAAACTGCACACACATGCCATGGCATGTTGTCACGAATGAACTCGGCGAGATCGCAAGCCAGCGCAATCTGCTTCGGGGAAGGTACTTGGGAGGCTGTTCGCCGACTGGCAAATCCTGTACACGACTAGGCCAACCATGTGTACATGGGCTATTTCTCACGGCGGAAAAGCGCAAATGGAGACTACTTGACAGGGACCCAAGATAGTACTCATGCGACGAGCTGCCTTCGTTCTGCTGTGTCGAACACTTCTCTCACAACCACCGTCGCCGGCGGGACTTGCCTAGCTATTGGCAGTAGTCGCTGCCGCTGAAACGAGTACACAGGGCTGCCCCCACCAATTCCCAACTTGTTAGGCTCTGTATTCGACGCTACGCCGCCGCTTGCAGCGCCCGAGACCCCGGCCGCAACACCCGCAAGAGGGGAGCTAGCGGCATGCCAGGCGTCGGGCGGACGGGACGCACCAAGCACACCCGCCAGTGCTGCACGCAAGCCCTACCGCCCAGCCGCTGCCGCTGCCACTGATGCCGCCGGCCCCCTTGACGCCACCGCTACTCTACCCAGCAGTCCATCCTGTCTTGCCGCTGGCGCCGTAATGTAATGTGTTGGTCCATGGCCCCAAGCAGCTACTGGCCCCCTATCACTGCTGCACCTGCGTCCAGCTCGTAACACGCTATACCGGATGTAGTGCTGCTCTTCGCTTCATGAACAAAAGAATGCGGAAAGCACTTACGTCCAGATGGGAGCAACAGACTTCTTCCATGCCCGCCTGTGTCGTGCCCCATCGTTGGCTTGGCCAAACTTGGGACTCCTGTTCCGTCTCTAGCCTCCCGTAACCGGAAGGTGCACTCCTAGTCTTGCTGTAGACGTAGAGCGCTCCTCAGCGCCTCTTGTCCCGTGCTGGGAGCTGGCTGCAAGGCGGCTGAGCCGCGGACTGACCAGGCCCACGGGGAACTGATAACCTATTGCCTATTGTGACTGCTACGTTGGGCTACCCAACGCTTGGGTGATTGCTGTCTGTGATTACGTCAAAGCGCGCATGTAAGCTGCAGGTCTGCGCCGCAGATCAGGAACGCATGAAGCCCTTCATGGTTCTTACAGGCAGTACATGAGTATGTGAGCAAGACGCAATGCCCTAGCCCGGGCATTGCGCCGCCTAACAGCACAAGCACTTGTACGACAGATACTCTGGATACGCCAAAGCGATCTCTCCACAGCCCACAGCACCCAAAGCATAGGAACTGCGATAATACCAGTCGATATAACCGGAACCACTTAGTCACTTCAGCACTAACATGTCGCGCTGTTATAATCCAACTGAACCATGGGACATGCCCGCGAGCGCTACCACCCGTGACCACAAACTGCACGAGCCAACGATGGGGCACGACAGCTGTCGTGCCCCAACGCTGGTTTGGCCATCTAGTGCCATCGGGGTCCGTACTCCCCCCCACAACCAAGCCAGCATTGGGTTGGTTGTCCGCAAGGACCCCCGACCATGCCAACACAGGCAAAGCGCGGAAAGAGACCACTGCAGGTCACGCCACAGCACGAAAAGGCTCACACACCATAGCCGTCCGTCCTTCCCTGGCCGTCCGTCCCAGCCAAAATAACCGTCCGTCCGTTCCTCTCCTGACCGCCCGCTCGGGCCGCGATAACCGTCCGTCCGTTCCTCTCCTGACCGCCCGCTTGGGCCGCAATAACCGTCCGTCCACTCCTCTTCAGCAACTGACCAGTCAGGCCATCCCTAACACCAAAAACCCCAGCCCGCAGGCTCCACACTTGTACGGCAGCCTCAGCCCTTCGACTTCCCCTGGAATCCAGACCAGCCCTTCCGGCCCCGCCCTTGCACGGCGCAGCCCCCTAACCCCAACGCGAGCCCGCCATCCCAGAGCGCAGCCACCCACTCAGGACAGGTTCCCCTCAGGACCGCAGGGCCCCCCCAGCACCGCACCCCCTGCTCATGCCCGCTCAGATGAGCCACTCCCGCACGCATGCCAGGGTGGCCTGCTCTCGGCCCCCGTCCTCCCAGGCCACCACAAAATACTTGGGCCTCATGATGGCTCCCCGATACCGCAAGACCCCCACACGCAGCCCCTCTCCCTCCAGGCGCACCCGCCTGCCATCCAAGGCAGCCGCCTCCTCATCACACCTCCTCGTTCCCGTTCGGGGAAACAGCAACCTGCCAACCTCATCCCGCATCACCACTTGCTGCGGCCTACCCGGAGGCCCCGTCACCAGCCCCTCACTCTGCCCTACGTCCCCCTTCACCTCATGCGACCCTGCCGTCGCTCCCTGTCCGTCAGCCGTCCCTGCCGCCGACCCACCTCCCAGGCCTACCCCACCCGCCGACACGAACGCTATCGCCGCCGGCTTGGCCGCCCTCGCACGCGGAGGCCTCTCCCGACGGCGCGCAGCCCGCCCATCGGCGGCCTCAGCCTCCGCCGCCACCTGGCCCGGCCGCCCTGGCGCTGCCGCCACCACCCCGGGGGGCGGCGGCGGCACCGGCAACAACGCGGCGGCCTCCTGCTGTCCCTGCTCCAGCTCGCGGCAGCGCGGACACACCCACTGCCCCCGAGGCTTCCCCCGCAGGCCCAGGCAGTGCCAATGCCAGCCGGTGTTGCAGCCGTCGCACAACAGCATCTTGCTGCCATCATGCGGCGAGCCACAGACCTCGCACTGCAGATCCCGCTCCGGGCGGAACAGCTCAGGCCTGACCGCAGGGTCCACCTCCAGATGGCATGGTAACAGCTGCTCCACCCGCTTCCGCACCCTCGAGCCATCCCGGCCCATCAGCACCGCCACACCCATAGGCCCCACCGACTCCACCCGCAGGATGTTGTCGTACTGGCGGAACTGCAGGGTGTGAGCGACGTTGCCCCGCCGGACATACACGTAGTCGCCCGGCGAGAAGACCGTAGGCTTGGCCAGGTAACGGCCAGTGCGAATGGCTGAGTAGCGCAAGGTGTCTCGATGCTGCGCTATCAGCAGGTTGCCCGCCGCTGCTGGGTACGCCTGCCGGACCCACTCCGCCCTGTCGACAATCGATGCCGCTGCCGCCTCCACGTCGTCGAAGTCAACGTACGGCCTCCGCCAGCCGCTCACGAACGGCCGGCGGAATCACCGGTTCCACACCCCCGAAGAGCAGCTGGTACGGCAAAAAACGCGTCGGCCCCTCGCTTTCCTTTCACCACCGTCCCTGATCTTGCTTTCCTATCCCTTCCCCTGCCCACGCCCTCCCTCAGTTTCCATGCCTTTATCGTTCTCTCCCCGCAACACCCCTTGCCAAACCATCCCGTCCCCATCCCTGTGCTTCCATCCCTTTGCCTCTTCTGCTGTAACGACACTTCCCTTTCTTTCTGTTGCCTTTACTTCCATCCCCGTCCCTCCCTTGCCAAACCTTGGCTCCCAAACTTTCCCTACCATCATCTCTTCTCCTTGTCCAACCCAACACATCCACGTCCCTACGCTGCCAGCAGCTCACCATCCCAAATGTGACTCCCACGCGCCGCCCTCGTAAACAGCCGCAAAAACGCACCCAACCACCCCACCGCACCGTCACCCCTCCATGCTACACACCCATTTGGGCAAGCCATGAGATCGCTTCGGTCTGGTTAAGATTACAAGTGGTTCTGAACATATCATAAGGTGTTGCGTTGGCTCCTGTGCTTTGGGCCTCGCTGTCTTGCAGAAGATACGTGTACCGGTACGGCGTATCGCATCTGAGTGCCGTACGGGTGGCCTTCCTGTTAGGCAGCGCGGCGCCCGGGCTAGGGCGTCGCGCGCAGCTCGCAGTTACGCAAGTTGTAAGAGACACTGCTTGATCCCCACTTGTCT